AAATATGATTCCTTCGCTACATAAGAGTTCTCATGTTTCAAAAACGAGAGCTGAAACCATCAATGTAATTATTAACATTAAATTGAATTAAAGTAACAAGCCCTGTTTCCTCAAGCGAAAATTTAGGAATAACCAATTTTGAAATTTACATATCGTTATAAGCGTGTTACTTTAATTCAATTTAATTTTAATAATTATACTGATGGTTTCGGCTCTTATTTTTGAAACATGAGAACTTTTATGTAGCGAAGAAATCATATTTTTAAAAAAATAATTATAATCTAAGCTCTACTTCTGTATGGAGGCCTGTTTTTTAAAAATAAAAACAAAAATACTAAAGAACCCTGGATTATTTACCTAACGTGTTCTTTCCTATTTTTCTACATACCTGCACACACAGATATATATATATATATATATATATATATATATATATATATATATATATATATATATATATATACTACTGCTACTACTATTGCAAACATAAAACAGGGCTCTCATCCATTTTTCCACCAACCGGCCAATTACTACTCATGTTTTGTCTCCATTCTTGTTCGTTTCGGTGTGCACCAAAAAGCATCAAAGACCCGCTGCAAGCTCACACGGAAAGAAAAGTGGGGAAAATGAACGCCGTGTCGAGAAATGAGGACTCGAAATCTGTTTCCCGTATATTTAGGTATTTATTTAGAGCTTCATTTGCTCGGTCTGTGTGGGTAGGCAGTTGGCACTTAGGACAACTTCTGCCAAGTTGCAATAAGAGATTAGTCAATTTTTCCTTCCATTAACTCACTACCCATTCTGAACATCCGGACGCGTGGCTGGCAACACAAACGGGTGGAATTGGAAGTACCAAAGAGACAGTCTGTCACCCGACTGGAGCGAATCAGAACTCTTTTGATTCCCAGCTGTGATAGTTAATATAGAGACGCAACAAGAAATCATTAATATTCAATTTGTTGTTGTTTGACCCCAGGAGTTTTTATTCATTTATCTATTTCTTCATTTTTTTTTTCTGTCAAATGGTTAACAGTTTTGCAGACAATGTTTCACAGAATTATCGCTGGTCATACAACGTAAAATACGTGAGATCTAGATAAAATCACTCAGTGGATGGGTATTCAAACCATAGTGTTACTCTGCTACTTCTTAGGAAAGATAAGTGTTTACTTTCCCATTAGTTTCTCTACGGTTTTGAATTCAGATTAATCCTCCTTTTACACACCTCCACTCAAAGCAATATAGACGAATCTACTCTGCAATTTAAGTCATAGCTACTTAGAGAAAAATATGTTCATGCCTTTCCTAAGGATATTAGTAAGTATTGAACGTTACAGACTGGGCCGGAACTTGAACTCGCCTCGCTGATTCCCCTTTACGCGCCAATAACTATTAGGCGCAGTACAAGATTGGTTTCGAGATCTCATCAATTTACAGTTGAGCTGGTTAGATGTAACCATAAATTCTATGCTAACAATTTCTTTTCACGAACTTCTTGTGGAATTCCCTTTTGGCGCCATGATTTCCAGCCAAATTTAATCTGCAAAAATTTAAATGCAATGTCAATCGCTATCTACTGTCCACCTGATAGGTGTTTTCTCTTCACGCTTATTATTAATGTTTCAGGTCGTAATTCTTCCACACCTTGTAACCTCATGTGTCTTAGTGGCTTTACTGCCTTGTATGGGGTGATACTAATTTTAAAAAAAATCCTTCCCAAGTCTGTGGAAGTTATCAAGTGTATGCACTGTTTTTAAGAATGCGGGTGAGCGCTCAACCCCGTCTCAATATCAGCCTCTTTAATGTCATCAGTAAAATTTTTGAAGCAAATAATCTACAGAAAGGTTGTTGATCACCTCAGTAGTGAGAACCACTTTAGTGACAAACAATACGGATCGAGTGAGCAATGGACTGAGGCGAACCACCTACATTCTCTTCGTATTCCCTTAGTGGGAAGTATCACTTGAAGAGTTTTTCCTATGTATCGCTACTTTGTGGAACCGACTCCCAAGAGGATGCTTTCCCAATCACTACAATTTTACTCTGTTCAAGTCTAGTGTTAACCGTTACCTTTCCCACATAGACTCCTAAAAGTGCGCCTCTTACCGATCACACGGCAAACTCCTTCGCTAACCCTGTACCTCGAGTGACTTTTCGGCCTTGTATAGGATGAACACTAGTAAAAACAAAATAATGAGTTTGGATGAAAGGATGACAGAATTGGGGCATAGATGTGTTAAAGAATCAAAGAGCAACAAGAGACTGGAAGTTCTGAAAAGCCAATGATCGTTGACAGCCCGAACTTTGGTTTGGTTTGGTTTGTTTTACGGCATATCAACCTCAATGGGTTATTTAATGCCAACAAAATTTTCACTGTTGGTAAAACATTTTTTCCAAAAAGCTATTTCTGGTAATATTTTTTCCATCAAAAATCAATTTCTGGTAAGAATTTCTCTTTGCTGGTAATTTTTTTTTTTTTTTTCAAAAAATGTATTGCTGG